GAATTCATCCAGTCATAGAGTGGTCTAGCTGGCTACAAAAAGGGGAAAAAAGATGGTTAAGTAATCTCGATATTGGTCGATTTGTATGGTTACATACTGGTTTTAGGGAACGTGGTAACTGCAGTCTTTTGGCTTTTCTGGGTTTTGAACGATCATCAAACACATTCACAGGTCATCTTGTCACAGCTTGTAGCATAAACACTTTAGGAACTTTGTTCCTTTACTTATCTGGAAAGTAAGTATTTAACTCAGTGGAAGAAAGGGTGTCTTTTATTTTTGAAACACCTTTTCTTCCTAGATTAAACTCTTTGGAATAAATGGTGTCTTTTTTTTAGAAAGAAAGTTTTTCTAACTCTTAGGAAGGAAAGGTGTCTTTTTTTTTTTCAGACATTTTCTTCCTAAGAATTTCAAGTGCTACAATTGAGTTGGAGGACACTCCTCATAATACATAGGTCAGTGTAAATACAAATCTGTTGAGTCACATGGGAAAGTGTTCTGGTTTTAATTTTTGTCTTCAAGAAGTGGCATTTCTCAATCACAATTAGCTTATAATATAAATTTTGCCCAAAATAAAAGAATAAAAACATTCTTCATTTGAAGTATCTTAAAGAAATTTCTCCTAACCTTTACGTAATTTGCTTTTAGAAGGGAGTGAGTGTTAAATGACTAATTGATTTCCTTTCTTCTTTCAAACAGATGTAAACACAGAATAAATGTTTTCTGGAGAATGATCCTGGGTGATATTCAGTCTGAGCTATTTCAGTGTGCAGTCATGCACCTACACCCTTCTACCTGGCCTCGTCTTCACTGGCATCTGCTGGGTGTTGTTGCAGTTACAGCAAGCAACGTGCATGGAAGAAGGACACCGGACCACAATGTTTGTGTCTGACCGATTCAGTGTGAAGCCAAAACAAATCAAGTAAGGAAAACCATATGCCATAAAAATGTACGGATAAACCTCATTTGATTCTAGCCAACAAAGAAGCTGAGCAGGTCTCCCTGATAACTTAGCTGGCCACGTGGCAACAGCGGCTGCTGGTTTTCTGGCTGACTTCAGAAATGGCAGTGAGGGACGGGGAAGTCGTGTTAGCCACAGAGTCCTCCTCAGCCCACTCCTCATATTGCAGGAGGCATTTCCTTTCTAGTGCCAGAAGTGTATTGTCAAAATAGGTTTTTGCTGTGTAGTTGGCATTGAAGTCAATGAGCTTCTCAGAAATATTTGAGTCCAAACTACAGTCCCCCTTGGATTGGTTGGGGTTTTTTGGGGGCCTTTTACCTCTTCTTCATCAATATCCAGGGCTGCCCTTCCCAAGAACCACAAACAAGAAATGCAGGATCTTTAACTGTACATCTGATATAGATAAAAAATGAGCAATAACTTGAAAGCCTGCAGAAAAACCATTTAAGCCAGCAGTATGTACATCAAAACTATTGTACAACTCAATCGATCCTGTCCCAAGGCAAACATTAAAATATTTAGTAAGACTCTAGAAAGATGGGTGCTTCTTTTTGCTGAAAGAAAAGTTTTAGATCACCTGAAGACTACAAGCTCTGAAGTACAGATAATCTGTTTTCATTAGTTCATTTTAAAAGACAAAAAAGCCCATAAAACAACTGTGGTTGTTTAAGCCAGATTTACAAACTCAGGTTTTTCAGACGATGCAGAATTCTGTTTGCATGTGCTTCACAGACTTCACCATCGTGACAACTAACAGAGAGTTATTGCCAAGCAAACGTTATTTCAGGATACAAAGATACTTTTCTGTGCAATTATTAATGACCTAGATATAATAATTGTTTTTAATTTTCCTGCTATTTTTCCTCACTTTCTTCTACCAATCCCATCTTGACTATTTCTGTGCTCTCTTCCCATCCTGACAACCTCCCTGGTTCTGGATGTTTAATGTAATTTAGGGGTTTGGTATTCACACATGTGGGATACTCTTCATCTTTCTAGATGAGAAAGATTTCATCTTATCCCTTGGAAAGGTTGTAAGAAACCATATAAAGAGGACAGTACAAATAATCTTTACCCATTATGATTTATTCTCTACAATACTTCATTAGAGGATAGAGTTCAATTATTTACACTCAGAAGTTATTATATAGGTAGGAGGCAACCAAGTGTAATACAAAGAATTGGTCTGACATCTCTGCACTGAAGGTCAAAAGAGGTCTCCTGCTTTAAGGAAATAAATTAACCAAAAAAAAAAAATCCAACAAAACAACATGTAGTTTCCAGAATACAAACAGAAAACAGCACTTAGAGTCAGTGAAGATTGCAGTTGTTTGTTAATGTACTATGAAAACAAATTATTCTGTGCAAAGGTTAAAATGAACTCTTTTCTTACAGATTTTTCTGTGGTTCTGATAAACTGCAGATATGTGATACTTTGACCATGAAACGTTCCATGACTGAAATGGCCTCAGTTGAGGTCGACTGTTCAACATTATGAAAAAAACCAAAAATTAAGAACCTCACAGTGGAAGCATCCCAACACTGACAGACTCCAGTGATCAAAGACATTTTCCCGTAGCTACTGTTAAACAAAGACAATTCCTATTTGCAGTGAGATTATTTCTCAGTTGTGGTTGTCATGAGAATAAGCCCTTCTAGACCAAAAGGCACTTGCTTCTAAGGATGAGTTAAATCCAGACCAAACCAGGTCACAGCTGCTCCGAGAGGGAGTTCTTCTACCTGCTGTCCCAGTCAAGTAACCACAGAGAACACCTCACACCAGTTGGGCATTGGTTTTGGTTGCCTCCTCTCGGGGCAACTCAAAGTTCACTTTGTTTCTCTTTCATCCTTGTGCATAGCTGCCATCTAATGATCTAGAAACGGGATTATTTCCTGAGACCACCTGCCTGTCCTTGTCACACATTTTTCGGAGCTAACTTAACTACTGACACACTTTGACTGATTTTATAGCTGGACCCTCATGGGACTAAAGCTTGAGCGCGCCTGTTTCTTAGGCAGCAGACCAGTGGCTCTGATTTGCTGCTTCTCTTCTCACTGCAACAAGACAAGAACACAGTACATATTGAGAGGCATTTTTGTTCATTTTTTTTCTGTTGTTGTTTTTTTTTTTCCTTTTTTTTCCTTTTTTTTTTAACAGACTGAGTGGGGAAGTGGAAGTGGGAGAGGATAAGGCTTCCCCAGTCCCAAACCATCTACCCCACTTCAGGCTTCAACCAACCGAGCCACTCGATCCTAAAATCCTGTTCTTTAAAAATGACAGCTAACCCTCCCCGCCCCACCCCTTAGTCATCCCCGTGTCAAAGAAAATGAAATCAATAAAACACTATACACTGTTGAAGACACAGAACAGGGCAAACATCTGAAAAAGAAACAGTATTGTTGAAAAGCCTGGCACTATAGCCTGCATGACCAGTCTCACTGAGCGTGCTCAGGGGTGAAGTTTTAGCACCATTTTTCTGCTTTTTTTTTGTTTTGTTTTTTAAACCTTTCAGAAATTAAATTCTAACGTAGAACACTTGGACAGTAATGAGTGTAGCCCTATGTGTCATACTGTTTGACAGCCGAAAGGTGAACGGTATGGCCGGAGCTGACCCCACCCTCCCCCATCACTGCACGGCACCTGGGAGAGGAATTACAAACCAGGCGAGTTTGTAACAAGACCGATTTATTCTCAGCAGCAGGAAATGGTGAAACAATCCCTTATCTTCAATTGCTTTTCAACAACAGCACAAGGGAAAAGTGGCAATTGGTAAGAAGGACCCAGCGCAGGAGGAAAGCTGGGTCAATATTGCACCGTTATCCAGAGTAGGACCCCCTCCTTTCCCTCACTTCTCTCTCTTGCAGCAGGAGAAGGTTACACCAAGAACTGCACAATTCTGTTTGCTTCCCTAGGACCAGAAGGAGCAGCAGCACATGCAGTTCTGAGCTTTCTACCAACCCTATTCCTTGCTACGGCAAGAGAGAATTTCAGGCTTGAAACACCAACCAATTTTGAAAGCCATCATTACCACACACAAGCAAACTTCAAAGATATGTGCAACCAAATAGCCAGTTCTCTGCTATGCACTTGTATTTTCTTTCCTGATCATTGTTGACCTTCCAGAAACTTGGAAACAAAACCAAAACTAAAATTATATTTACGTCCACTGACCTCATGGAGTGTCGTAACTTAAGACTTTATGACATCCCTCAACGACACTACAGAACAACAACTGGATAAATTATCTTCCTCTTAGAAAGAGTATCTTTTGTAATCATCAACGATGGGAGAAGAAATACAGAATGCACGTGAGTTTCACACCGTTCGGGTAATACAGGTTTGCCCACTCATTGCCTTGATGTGGTAATGAATTCACTGCTCAGATAATAACTTCATAGTGAAACTACACAGCTCTATTCCGTAGGCCTGCTATCAGCTGGGACACTCACAGCTCTCCAGACCGATAGTCATACCAGAGAAAGTGGCTGTTCTAGCAAAAGAAAGGTCCCCGAGACTGTTAGCTTAAGTTAAACAAATTTCAGTCACTTGTCTCACTTGTATGACTACAGTCAATGCCCTGCAAATCCCTCCTCATCCCTAACCCCATCAGGCTCCATTACAAATGTCTGGACACAAAACTTGGTCGTAACAGAGAAGACCTTGTCCTTCACATACACAGCAGCTGCCACATTGCTCTCTTACAGGCCTAACAGCGCTCTGGTTCATAGCAGGCTACATTACAAAGTGCTGCCTAAAACCCCCAAAACCGTAAACCAAGAGGATTTCTACAGAATCCAACCAACAGTGGGATCTGCTAATTAAAGCCTCCTAGGGCTTCTTTAAATAAGGGATTCATCTGCAATACCATCCAAAGGTTTTTCACATCTTTAATAAGTGTCTTCCGTCTGCGAAGGTGGGGTGCTATCCAGATGTTCAACCCTCCCCAATATCGCAATGTCCGCCTGTGATGTGTGGGGACTGCAATCAGCTCTCGGTAACAACAGATACCAGAGGTTAAAAAAAATAGAAAGAACCTAAAAAATGTTTTGTTGGACTCCGTTGCCCAGGCTGCCAGGGGAATGCTCCTACTTGATCTGGGGGGGCTTCCATAACGAACAACTCGAGTTTCCGGAGTGTCGGTAACACACGGGAACGGATCGGTCCGAAGTGGCACTTTCACTCCCAGAGGTCTTCTGCACCTCACGACAGTTCGTAGGCATGGAGCCCCAATCCAACTGAACCCCCGTTCAGAGGGAAGGCTGAGATAAGGCTTGGGCCCCTGAAGTTCTGTCACGCTCTTCTCCTCCCCCCAGGTCAGCTGGAAGGCAGACTTGGCAACGGAAGCTAGCATCATAAAATGGTGCAGTAATAGAAGTAACTGGACCAGGAAGAGGAGGCGTCTGCCCCGATGATGTCGTAGCCGTTGGCAGCAACTGGGGAGTGGGACTGGTCATGCAGCCGTGTGTCAGGAGTAATGATTGTAGAGGGGGGGGGCATGAAGAGTGCCGTTCTGGAAACAATGCTGACGGGAAGCCATGTACTCTGCATAACTGATTGTCACTTTCTCACTGCGGTACCTGTGGGAACAGCAGAAGAAAGAAGATTGTCAGACTATGCAACACGAAGGAACTAGACATTAAAACATTCATCCCAGATCACCCTGTAGCTCACAGCTAATAACGACCACGAGGAACCCGCTAATTTCATCACGCACTGTCTTTCTACTCTGAAATAACCCATCTGAGCTTGGATTAGCTTCCATGTCCCAAAAGTTGAGCCCTGTTCAAGGCAATCATAACGACGGGGACTTCTGAAGTAGCACACAGGAAACAAATGACCAATTTGCATTCTTTTTATCCACTTGCTGTGGCAAACAAGGGCATGATGTTTGCTCGAAGGAGGCTCAGTTCCAGAGACTAACCGGTATTTCACTATTATTTACTTTTGTAGTTATCTTCACAGTTGAAAGGTGAGTGACAGAAAATGACAGAGATTTAAATGGGAGGTTTATTATAGCATTTATGTGACTTAGTCCACATTGTACCATCAGAATTCACAAAATGAGAGACTAGAGATTTCCAGGTGCCTCTAAAGCATGCGACACAGAGAACTTCAAAGTGGTTGTGAACTGCACTGAGTTCACGTCACGCTAGAATTTAATGAAAACCTTCATCCTGTCCTCTCGTGTTAAAAAAAACCCCTGCATACCCAACTCATTTCTCCAGAGATAAGGAACGACCTGATAAATTAGTGTTTCTATACAAAACCAGAATGTCCCAATTTTCACTGACATAAAGGGAGCTGAAACCAATGGGACAGCTGAGGGTATTGAAAAGCAAGCACATTATGAACACCAGCCAAATCTGAGTGGGGTTTAAGAGAGCTGCCACCTCCAGATAGCTACAGCAGCCACAGCTGGGCACACGAGAAAAGGAATCCCCTTGTAAAGAGACAGAAAAATCAACCTTTTGGCTTCTTTTGATCTTCCCTGTGGATGATAATATTAAAACCAGTGGCACTTCTCTTAGAAAATGCTAACCTCGATTAAGCATGGACCAAACGTATTGCACTTCACGTATATTATATGCCTAACACGTGGCATTTATGATTTTGTCTTTCAGACTACACCTCTCATCTGGAAGAGGCATGAAGACTGACATCACCCACAAATACTGTAAAGTAAAATACGACAAATCTACTGACTCACCTGGTGAGTTTAATCGTTTTCCTAAAATCATTGGTAATCGGAGCCTTAAAGCCACCTTTCCTGAGTAAGGAGTCTATGGTCTGGATCTGATCCCAGTCTAGTGAAAAAGAGAAGCGAGGGCAATTTTTCAGTATAAAAAATGACGTTTCAAAAAGATATGAGATGCATTAAAAGGCCTCTAGAAAAGCAAACAACTAAATGGGAAACTCTGAGCTTCAGAAATACCAGTGTTGAACTGGACATACATGGTCTGATGCATGCACACTACCTGCACATGCCAACCCCTTTTAAATCCTACTGGAACCAGTATATAAAACAGTAAATCCATTTTCCACACGGCCTCTCTTCATATATAGGTCTGTGCCTTGCTTCTGTTGCAGAGACCCCGAACTGTTTCATCATGTGCCACTCAAGTTTAGCTCCCTAAGCCTTAAAATAATACTTAGCTCTTTACATAGACAAATTGGGATCAACCTGATGCTCTAGTGATAGCACAGTGCACTGCTATGTGAGAGATCAGAGTTAAAATTCCTACCTTAGTCTTTTGCCCCAGAGCCAGGAGGATGCGACCACTCCACTCTGCTAGGTGGAGGAAAGGAGGCAATATTTTGAGCAGTTACCATGGTGACCGCTACTATATTTGAGTGGGAAGTGTGCTCCAGAGGGGCCCTGTTTCCTGCCCTCATCTGGAGGATGCTACTTTAGCAAGAATGAGGAGGAAAGGGACTCTCCTGTTGGTGCTGTGCAGCCTGCAGTTATCCTAGTTGGTGGGAGAAACATAGAAGAGGAAAGATGCAATGCTGAATGAAGCTGGAAGATCCATACTTTGAGATCCTCTATTTCTTAAGCCCTAAAACATTTTTACGCTAAGATACAGCTGTGCACAGATGTGGGATGAGAGAAAGGCCAGATGAAAACCCAGCAGCAGCTGTATCGGGTGTCAGTTATCCAGATTAAGCCTGGTGGCTCCATGGCACTACTACGAGGATAGCATTGCAATCCAAACCCGAAATCCATAGATTTATGTTACCCAATTCTGTGACACAATGTGTTGACACGTTTGGCTGCCATCTCAAACCCACCTTGTTCCTTAGCAACCTCAGGTAAATACGTGGCTGTGCGTTTCACACCTTTCTCATTGATGAACTCTATTCTGATCCCATGGATCCCAACCTACAGATGGAAATGAACAGCCAAGTAAGAGGTGTTTGCTAGCACTGAGTCCACGATCGAGTTGTCATTCCCACAACACTGTATCTCTCTATGGCCAGTTTGGCTTTCGCCTGGATCAGGACGTTCTCTTCCCCACTCTGTCCTTGCCAGGCAGGTCTCACAAGCAGCTCTCTTAGCAGCACAAACGACCTCTGCCACCTTTCCCAGCTGAGCCTGACCAGTTCCCTGCCACTTCTCCCGAGTTAAGTCTTGTCACAAGTCTGACAGTTTTCCATCTCTTATATTGGGCAAGACAAGATCTCCACACAAGAATCACCCCTAAAATCAGCCCAACCACAAAGTCCGTTTAATGCTTCTAGAACTAAATACACTTAAAAGCACAAGGCCCTAAAAATGCTTAATGCCTTTGGTCTTAATTACTTTTTATTCCCAGCATCAAAATACTTCCCAGGTTTTTACATATGTATTTACGCTCATTTCCTCTTGGGCCAAATCCATAAAACACTTTCACGTCTCTCTTACTCCCATTCAGATCCTCTCCCATCCAAAAAGCACACTGCCAGCCCACCCGAGTTTTCCAGCCCCATTGCTCCTATTCCCAGTGTCAACACCCACACACCCCTGTAACGAAGGAGACACATCGCCATGTACTAACCCGAACCCAAACGGACCGAGAGTGAGGCAGTTCCAAATGCACCTGTTCTCACCTCCCAGTCCAGGTAGTCACTGGCATCCTCAAAGTTAGTGAGGAGGGAGACAGAGCAGAAGAGTTTGGGCAGCTCCTCGCGGGTCAGGGGGGGGAATCGGCTGTCCTTAAGTGCACTAAAGGGAAGAGAAGATGTGTTGCCTAATACAGCCTTGTCAGATGCTCAGTTATTCCCTTTTTGATTCTGCCTCTGTGAAGCTTGCTTGTTTGCACGTCTTCCTCATCTAATGAGCAAACAAATGCTAGTGCAAGGTTCCTGATGCTGTCCTCCCCTTACTGTGGCTGAAGAGGAAATTACATGCTATGTCAGATGTCAGAACTGTTAGTATGCAAGACAGAGTCAACATTAGACTTCAAATGTGGACCAGAATTCACCTGTTGCAGACATTCCACTAAGTCCTGTTACGTTACCTCACCCTATCATACATTTCTCAGGTTTATTTTACTGTGAAGCACATTAAACTGAACTATGTTGACCCAACATCCCAACCTCGAATCCTTACAGAACTTCAGCAAATTAAACTAATTTCAGAGTGACTTCTTTTTCAACATAATTACCTGGTTAATGTGTATTCCCTGAGTCCTGAGTGAAGATTCATGGCTGAAAAGGTCCCGATGCAGCCACGAAGCCGCTTGTCTCGCCCCGTCTTCCACGTCACAAAGAGTGGACTGAAAAGGCAAAAAACAAAAATACTCCAGCCTATAGACACATTTGGTGGCTAAGGGGAGACTAACAAGGTATCAAAGAGCACAGATGATTGCACTTGCTTTCTCTCTCCCTAATGAGCCCCAACAGCCGTGTTTTCCCACCTGCTGTCTAACAATAATAAAACCCTACACCCACACACACCCCAAATGCAAAACCCAGTATCTCCCCCCACCTTTTTGGCACACTCCTTTCTTTCCCCCAGTACTCTAAGCTCTCCACCACCACCTTCCTGGCCAGGCTATGCTATCTTCTAAGGAGCAATATGATTATTACTTGACCCCACCGATTACCTCTGTGAGTAATGGCCCCACCTAGCAGCATCCACTAGTTTATATGACAAATGGATCAAAGTTAATATAGGTGAAGCAAGTAAGACTTATTTACAGTATCACTGAACCAGATTGCCAAGCATTCTGCAAATCATCTGTAATTCAGGTTTGTGAGAAAAGGTATTTTTTAAGGATAAAAAGCAAGCCTAGCTTCCCCTTCACCGCGTTATTTCCACGAGGAGCTGACTTCTAGGTCCATTCCTCGTGCTCAGCTTACATTCACATCTTTTGCTTACCTGACATTTTAATCCTATTTACACAGCTTCTCTCCTGTTGAGCACATATCTAAATCCCTGTATTGTTCCTATTCAAACATCACATGGATTTCCACTTTCCTGTCTACTAACAGGAATTTACAGGCATAACAGTAGGTTCTCAAATTCAGCAGGCTCCTTTCAATCTGTTAAACTAAAAGCCATGATTAAGCCTCAAAAACCAAGAAGTTCAGAACAGCAGCATTCAGAAGAGCTCTAGGAAGAGGTTAACAGGTAAAGAGGACTGAATATTAAACACAAAAAGTCACTTCTGCAGGAGTGAGTCAAATTGCAAACAGCTGAAGAGAGAAACAGTAAAGAAAGGAGGTGGCTGCAGCTCTACAGGAATGTCCAAACACCTGGAAAATTCTGTCAGGCAACTGATGATGCTGATCTAATGACAAAACCAAGACGACTGATCTCAGTTTTTCAGATTACAGCGCACTGAATACAAGATGCAGTCACTTCGAACCCAAGCATAAACGAGAAAGTCTTTAGTGATTCCAAACACCAGGCTGGGGATTTCGACTGAACTTTAAAAGATAAGTAACAGGATAGAAAATATGCAGTGTTCAGAAAGTTGTTTTCTGAGCTTAAACAAACATTGACAGGAGCTCTAAGCCAGGGAGACAGAGCTCAGACACTTACTTTCCTCAAACTCTTGAAGGTCTTGTAAGCAGTAGATCTTGGCAGCAAATATTACAAATAATACTACAAGATTCTGTTCAGACAACAAAACCAGCAGAGCGTGGATAAATTCTCAAATACAGGCAACGGAGCTGCTTATGTCTAAGCAGTTAGAACATAATTTAAAACTTTGTGATAAAGCAATGCCCAGTGCATCAGTGGAAATAAACCAACTCTATCACAGCATAAACCCGACAGCCAGGATCTGGTTAGCAAGTAGCCTTGAAGTGATAATTGGGAAGTGCTTTGCCCACAGAGGAAGTGGAAACTTTCTTCCACAACCATTGGCCACCTCCTGGCTGCTTGAGCAAGACCTGGGATTTCTTGTTCCAGTTTTCCAGCAGCACTTCAAGGCACTTTCAGCATCTCATTTACATTTTCATCTAGCCTACCAGATGTTGAGACAGAAAACAGAGTGTAAGAAAATACATTACAAAGCTTATAAAAAAAAAAGATACTGAACTTACAAAGGAGATTTCTGAGAAATATTACTGTCATAAGCTCAGCGGAAATTTAGCTTAATCGAATTAGTTTTGAAAGCGTTACTTAGCCTATGTGACACTCGCCCCACGCAGAAAAGGGAAGGGAGAAAAGGAAAAGCATCACTGACAGAATACAAATCTAAGTTCCTTCTTTTCTTTGACTGAAATTACAGGTTCACATTTCAAATTCACCTCTTTCCCCTTCCAATAAGAAAAAGAAAAAAAAGCTGTTTCCACTGAGCTGTGACACAGCTTTCTGCATCTGTAATAGAAAAGGTATTACCAGAAAGGACATGATCATTACATTCAGAATGCTGTCATATTTTAAAGCATCTTAAAGCACATTTTAAACAATTTTTCTCTGTGGTCATAACAGCTGAGGCATAAAAAACATTGTGATTTTGCACAAGTACATCGTCAAGGTTTCCACTGTAGAAAAGACGCTGTTTCTGCATCTGAGGAAGAAAAGCACTTGGCAGATTGCAGGTGCAGCTGACAAGAAGTCGACTGTTTCGTAACCCCTCCCTGTGAAGCGTATTTCCCAGATGTACTGGGAAAAGTCACGACGAGCTCCTGCTCGTGTTCCCCCAGAGCACTTGCTGGTACTCCACAGTCACATCCTCGCTCGATGACGGCACCCGCTTCTCCCCAGTCACAACACCCTACTCGCGTGTGATGGATGAGGATTCGCAAGGCTTGAAATGGGCATTTCAGCAACTAAAAACCGGCTTCTCCAATTGCAACTACAGAGGGAACGTTAAAGTAGCAAAATCTCGTTTGTTCAGATGACAATCTAGCTTATGCTGGGGAAAAACCTGTTACAGTGCAGAAGTGATGATGCAAGTATCTCACTATTTGTCTGGCATGGCCAACGGGAACCTGCATGGTACAGTTTTAGTACCAGTTTGTAATACCTACTATTAAACACACTAATCAAAATACAAAAGTGCAAGAAATAACCAATTAACTGTTTGCATGCCATACAGGTTCAACATTGTAATTTTTTTCCAGTAACTTAATAGTAAAGGAGATGTTTTCCTCATTTACCAAGGTAATTCAGACATAACTATGAGTCTTGCAATGCCTCCTTCTCGACACTGATTTGTGAGCAACATTGCTAATATGCACATAAGGTTCCCTTACTCCATGGGTATCTACCAGCTTCATAGTTCCCACTGAGACTGCTGGCCCTACACATATCCTCTGAAGCTGGTAACTGGAATTCACAGTCATAACCCTGTAACTTTGATGCTATTTCACAGTTTACACAGAATCCTGCCCTTCACGACTACTTTTATCTTTACTTTAGGGTTCAGCACCAATTAAAAGATCCAGTACCTGAGAAATAGATCAGGACAACCCTGTGCATCTTTCTCTTCTTTTCTGTCTGGAAAGACTGCTGGCACATACCTTTGTCTTTCAGGGACATTAATTACTTTACAACAACGCAAATCATTGATGCATTTTCACTCTGCTTACTCTTGCATTTGATAACATTTGGCTGGAGGTTCTCAAGTGTGACAGATCATCCCTGTGTGCTTGCAATGCAAGTGAGCAAACCCCATGCCTTTCCCTGGGGTACACACAACTATTTGCTAGAAGCAACAGCATAAATGCTGAAACACAAGAACATTCGGGTAGGCATTTGCCCAGAGGGGAGGAAGAGAGAGGAGCTGCTTTTGCTTTGGAGCACTGATCTAAAACACTTTTAAACTGTCAGTGCTGAAATGCCCAATGAACAATCTTTAACTTTTCAAATTTGGGCATAAAATTCAAAGGGCTGATATTCCTGAAAGAACGCCCTTTTTGAAACCGGTCAACAGAAACAGCAATAAAATCCAGCCAGAAATCTCCTTTAATGCCAAAATAACGAAGCTGTATTAAACAGTCTCTCTTCCTGACTTTAGAGCAAACCAACAACAAACGCCTTTGCATTTCAAGTGATAAAATAAGCAGACTAACGCATCATTTGCTAAATGAAGCCTCCTTAGCTTAGGTATGGAAAACAACAGCAGAAATACGTCAGGCTGGGGGGTCCCTGGAACTGCTCTATATTCCAGTCCAGAGGGTTTCTCTATTCAGTTGTATTTACAATATTAAGCAGCTTAGTTTGCAGTAGCATTCAGAGCCTGTATCCATAATCCTGCTCAGATAATAACTGCATGGAAGCACAACCTGCATCTACCCTGGCAGCCAATAATGCAGGGAGATGTTTAATACATGGAAAAAGTCCTTGACCTGTTTAAGCCACTGTTCCTTTACATCAATTGAAAATTCATTCGCTCACATTAAAGATGTCAACAACTTCTTATTTTATCTGCTGCTCTGGAGGAGGCCCCTGGAGCGGTGTCAGGAGGTTTATCTGCCTTTGATCTCTCCCATATAAATCTTCCACCAAACACTTTAACAACATTAACATTTCCACACCTACACATTCAACCTTCAGATCAACAGTCGCTGAATCTCACCAAAGCAAAATACCTTCGTAAATCCTTCTCCTCACTTCTTCTCATTCACACCTCCTTTTTCCTTAACCTTGAGATCATCCTCCAAAGTTAACTCTCCATTTCTCCCCACATTGCCCAACCAGCACTATCTCCACTAACTGGCAAATTTTGTCTTTTCTTCCCTCCTGAACCAGTTAACGTGTACAGCTGAAACTCTCCAGTTCTCACCAGCTCAGCATTTGGTTCAGGATGAGCCAGGAACTTGTTTCAACTTCTTACATTATTCCCTTTCCATTTGCTTCACAGAAGAAAGTCTCTCCCCTCGTCCCTTCACCAGGTCAGTGCCTGACATCAGAAGCAGGATCTTTTTCAAATCAATGACTTTTCTCCTGTTTTCTGAAAACTAATTTCAGTTCCACTCATTCTTTTAGTACAGTTTTACGTGAGGCACAGTGCAATTAACTTTTTGCAGAGGAACCCACTGACAAGGAAGGGAGCAAACTAACAGAACGTTATCGCAAAGGGGGTTTGCGCTCCTCCATAAAGCATACGTCTCACACAGCACACACTGAGCTGATTCCTCAGATCTTGCCTGGCTCTCTTTTTGTAAAGCTAAGCGTGTTCTCCCTTGAAGGCCGCTCTTCACAGCTCCACTCATCCCCACCAACAAACAAAACAATGTTCTCACTCTTTCATGCCCTTACTGCACATCACTTTTGTTTCTGGTAGACAAAGCAAGCAGCAGAACGCCCCCATTCCTCCCTGCACACCAGTCCTCCCATTTGCCAGAGGAAACCCTTCCTCCCTCCCCAGCCAAAGCACAGCTCTGGATGCTGGTTTCTCAGCTTGGCTCCCGCACGTGGATTTACTCACTAGGGGTCATTGGTAAATCGAGGAAGTCGTGGCTGAGGGAAACCATAGAGATGACAGTAGAGTACATCAAAGCAGTAGCAGCACATCTCTGCTGTCACCACCAGGTTCTTGGTGCTGTTGGCAGTTCCATTGGGCCGAGTAAGTGGGCTCAGAGCTCCTGAAGTGGGATTCATTCGAGTGATCGGGGAATTTCCTGGGCCCAAAGTCAAGTCAGATACGTTCTCCCTTCCATTATTCCCGTCTGTGTGCTGGTGGTTCTGAAGAGGACCTGAACTGGAGCCGGGTGCAGTTGTGGCCTGATTCCCATGGCTGTGCGTTCCACTCCCAGACAATTTGGGCTTCTTCACCCCACAACAGCCAGCTGCCAGCTTGGGCTCAAGTGGAGGAACACAGCGTCTTTTTCCCATCCTGCTTCAAAACTCGCCGCCTGGAGCACTGCAGAACCCTGGCAAGAGAGGGCAGGGAGGGGAAGCAACACACAAAACAGTTACAGGTGGAAAACCAACAGCTGCTTCCTTGCCCCCACTAAGGCATCAGGTTTGCAACAAGAAGAGGAAGAAAGCCCTCACAATGCACAGCTGAGTACAGAACTAAAACCAGTTCAACGAGCAGAATGGGTGTTTTTACACAGAAACTAAAAGCATGTACGCAATGGGTGTGAAATCACACTTGTTAAAGTGCTTGGTGAGGTGTACTGCACACTAAGAGGCAGCTGGTCACCAAAAAAAACCATAAAGGGAATGAAACTGTGGGATAACAGAAGAGAAAAGACAGAAAGACTTTGGACTACAGATACACCCCAGCCACTGCCTTTCCCATTCCCCCCTCAGCCAACGCCTGCACCAACGGCGATCAAGGCATTAAAAGAAATCACAAGCGCATTTCCCTTCCCCGTTCCCAACAGAAGGGCGACAACAACTCCAGATGACACCTCCAGGGCTGGACTCCCAGGGGTGCTGCCCTTGATTTGGCGCTACCCTACGTGAGACACAGAGAGGAGCCACAGGCACTAAACCACCGTTTTCTAACCAGACTGTTCTCCAGACGCCAAAAACTAGAACCTGCCATTACTGTCTAGGGTTACTTATGAGCACGACTGTGTAGGGTGTACAGTCAGGATACGGAGCAGAGGAAGAGCGAAGAGGGAAGCGGTAACGGCAGGAAACAGATACGGTATAAAAAACCCCAGAGCTGCAAAGAAGCAAACGCTGGCTCTTGCACCACAAGAAGGGGAGGAACAAATAGAGAGATGAGAGCCTATGCAGACAAAAATGAACAAAGGTGACGGGCAAGGACCACGCGTCAAGGGGAGGCACAAGTGTAACACTGTCATCACCGTGAGATCTCAACGCACCTAGGGAGGGAAAACCTGTTCCCAAATGGAGCTAAAAGCACAGACACAGAAATCACAGAGAACTGGAAGTCACACGCAGCTCTTGTGAGTACCAGGCTGCTTCTTGAACCACTACAGCATCCCTCCAGCTCATCCGAGGATTTGACTGGAGCCTGAACTGCCAGCACATGCACAGAGCAGGGGGCTGTGAAATGCACCAAAACTCACAGTGAGAACTCCCTTCCTGCCCCGAGTGTGCGAGCAATGAGAACTTTACCTGTGAAGTTCCACCAGCCACTGTAACAGTCCTACAGCCCTGGCCTGCCCCAGCACTGCTATTATGACACAGGGCAGGGGACACGCCTCAGCAACAAACCAACACAGAACGCCTGCACTGGCGGTGCCTGCACTGCTCGGGATCCCTCACCTCAGGGTTTTAGAGGGACAAATCTGCATAAGGAACAAAATGTACAAGACCTAATGAAAACCACCCTTTTTCCTGTGATCTCTGCCTTCATAACAACAACCACCACCACCTAGGAAAAAAGATTTATAACTTTGGCAAAGTAAACATGTAATTTTCTTCAGTGCCTACTGGAAGTTATCTACGGGGGCTCAGGGAAGCCGCCTTTCCCAGTTACCGCTGCAGGTTAGCTGCGTTTAGGGGAAAAATTATTTATTTATATGAAACTCCTCATTTTAGACTGCAGACGTGGCAAGGGGCAGAGAAGAGATCTCCTCCGTTACCAGCCTCTGCAG